GCATTAGGTTAAAATTTATATAAGGAGCAGACACCATTCGCTGTGAAAGGAATTAAATTATCTGTTATAAGATAATTTATCCAAGTTCATAGGTAAAAGTTTCAACAATCTAGCTTGAAATACATATTAAAGTTACAATAATCTTCGGAGAATATTTTCTCTCGTAGAAAAAAAAAACGATTTTGTTATAAATAAAAAGAAAAAAAAAAGGAAATGTTATTTAATCCCCGTCCTCACCACCAAATTACATGTTGCATTATCATACGATTCATCCCCTTTTACAGCATTCATCCTTTTACTTTCATGTAGTAGAAAAAATTACTCTAAATTATAACTTTTTGTAGCAGAAAAAATTTCTCTAAACTATAATAACTTTTTGTAGTAGGGAAAATTACTCTAAATTGTAATAACTTTTTGTAATAGAAAAATTTACTTTAAATTTTTATATCTTTTTGTAGAAGAAAAAATTACTCTAAATTATAATGACTTTTTTGTAATATTTACTCAATTACTCTAAATTATAATAACTTTGTGTAATAGAAACAATTACTTTAAATTATAATAACCTTTTGTAGCAAAAAATATTACTCTAAATTATAATAACTTTTTGTGGTAGGAAAAAATATTTTAAATTATAATAACTTTGTATGTTACGATATATTTATAAATAATTTTTCAAATAAATAATATTAGGTGAATCATCAACTTATACATATTTTTTGGAAAATTACATACAAATCAAAAACTGGTATTGTAGGGAGTAGTTTGTCCATATATAGTATATTTGTCACAAATGCTTAATTTTTCTTTTTGCTATAATAATGCATTTTAGTTCCAAATTTGTTTCGATAAATGACATTAAAGTATCATCCAATAAGAATAACTGTTATCATTCATACTTGACAGCAAATTACGATTACAAATGTTCAATCATTGACATTGTATTTTACAAAATTTCAATGTATAACCCAGATTTTAGGTATTCTTATTTTAAAAATTGCTATAATCAACGTACCAACATTAAGTATTATTGCATAATAAAAAATATGGCTCAATAATCAAGCTGAATCAAAAATATTGATCCAAAGTTGCAACTCCAATGTTATGATAGAAGGAGGAAGTTTATGAGGCCCGACTCGTGGCTCAATGGTAATGTTCCCCGCTGGTGAGCATTAGAACTGAGGTTCAATCCGCTGGCGGTATTGTTGTAGATACTGTTTCAAAAGACGAGTAGACTCGATTGCGTTCGTGATGTTCGACATCTTGCCTCGTTAGTCAGACTACCACTTGTGGTAGTTTTCCAAGTTTTCTTTATCTTTTAAACAAATATTCTTTAACAAAAAATAGTCTTTATTTTCAAACAAAAAGAGAAAACTTCTCTGGAATAATTCTTTAAACTATAAATAAATGGATTATTTAACACTATTAAACATTTCTTTTATATTTGAAATATAAATATTATAGTTTAAATATTTTATTTACATCAATCAAGAAGACAAAATTATATTATGGGTACTCCTCGACAGCGATAATAAAATCATTTCTCTTCTTCAGTGGTGCAACAGCCCAACGGTGGGCCAACGACATCTGCCAACTGGCAGATTTCGAGACTTGAGAGGTTTTCTCTTTACGGGGTAGGATTGTGAGTACTACACCAAACGCTGTTCATTCGTATTAGGCCGGGGTTTACAGGTTTAAAGTAGAATTCGAGCCACTACAAGCATCTATGGCACCGCCGGGATTTGAACCGAGCGCTAATCACTTTGCCCTCAGACCCCCAATAAAATCGTTATATTTGATGTCGTTAATTAAAAAGTCGCTAATATGTAACAGGTAATTCAGAGATTCTTAATTGAGTGTATTCTTCTAAGCAAAGGATCTTTGTTTGATTTTTATAATAATGCAGTTCTCGTCAAAATCCAAAATAAAATTTATCGTTATATACATTCTATCTTCGCAAAAACAATTTGACTCGACAAGTATTTGATGCCAAATTGAAAGATTTTTTTTATTGTGGCACGTCTATGGATCTTTGTCTTCCATTTATGTATGGCATGAACAGCCCTCCAACGAATAATGAAAGGAGGGAAGACATTTAGGGACAATTGCACCACATTTACTGTCATACAGAAAGACGCTGGGATACCTTCTTCAGTCAGTTGTATTGGCAAAGCGAAATTCTTATACCCATTGTCACAAGTGGCATTGAATCGCTCTCTTTCTTTTTCTTATCCCAATTGGTAGACAGCAACATCTAGGCCAAGTTCATAAACCAGTGTTCTCATGAAAGAAGGGAAGAGGGGAGTAACTTCTGTCGTAATGGTTCACCCGTTGGTGGAAGTCTGACTTGGTTCCGTGTTGTTGAAGAAGGAGGGCAACTTTTAGGGGGAATTAAGGCTAGTGCTCACCAAGGCGACAAGATGCAAGCGAAAAAATTTGACCAATCACTAGCCTCCCCGCGGTCGCCTGAAACCGGTTTGCAGTTCGCCGCTTGGAGTTCCCCAACTTTCAACTCGAAGCGGTTTTTCACTAGGCGTAATGCTATTTCTGACGTTTCGCTGTGAAGGGGTCGAAAAAATTTTGTCGCTTGCCTCTTAAATCTTCACGTCTCTCGCCTTGGTGATAACGAGCCTTTACTCCGCATCTTCGTATAGTATGGGGGAAAACCCAGAAAACTCCCACTAGGTAGTTCGACTCACGAGACAAGAGGCTGAACATCCCAAACGTCATTGACCCTCCCCGTTTTTGAAACAGTGTCTACAACAATGTAGTCAGCGGATTGAACCTACGCCCTAATGATGACCAGGGGGTCACGTTACCACTGAGCCACGAGTCAGGCATAATAATAATTTAGTGCTCGTCAAAATTTAAAAAAAAAAATTATTGTCACATTACTTATATTTTTCCAAAACAATTTGACTCGACAAGTATCTGATGCCGAAGAGCAAAATTCTTTTATTGTGGCACATTGATTGATCTTTGTGTTTATAGCGAATAATGAAGGGAAGGGAAGACTTTTAGGGATAACTGCACCACATTTGCTGTTGTAGAGGAAAGACCCTGAAAAACCTCCGTCCATCAGTTGGATCGGCAATGACAGATTCTTATACACTTTGTCAATTGGCATCGAATCTCCTTCTTTCAGAAAGCAATAAGTGCGACAGAGGCCACCAGCGGATTCGAACATGAATCTTTCTGTTCATTAGATGCGCACATTACTACTAGCAACGAATTAAGTGACAATCAACAACCGAAAACCAAATTTCAATCGCTGGATGTAAAATATTTAATATCTTACTTTACAGGATTCAGTAATCAATAATTTTTGCATAACTGTTTTAGTGACGTGATAAATCTATTTGCTTGTCATGCGCAGTGAAATAAACGCATGCGCAGTGAGAGAATAGATTAAAAACTGAATATCAAAGTATCTGTAAAGATACGACAAACTCTCTAATAAGATTTATAATATTAATTAAAGAAAAGTTTGTTTATTTTATAAACCATTAGAAATTTAAAGGTGACTTGAAGCTTGATATTCAAACCAATTTTTTAATGTAATTTTGATAGGAAACAAAGAAAGGCTAAGCGAAAACTCATACAAAATCTGACCAAATGAAACGTTTCTATCGAAACCGTTATCATCGTTTATTCTACACGAAAAATTTCAACGAAACTATTATCTTTTCCTTTATCATACAGGCACATTTCTTCAACTTATTTCAAGATAATTTCTTGCGTCACCCAATTGTTAAAAGAAAGTTTTCAAATTCTCTTTTCAACGAATATTTCCTGGAATGACGCATTCGTGGAAAAGTTTGTAGCAGACTCCACAGTGGAGAAGCATTAGAAGAACTTAATTTATTTAAAATTTCGCTAAATAAAGTATTAAATAAAGTTATATGTTGTTGTAATATTGTTAAATAATGTTGTTACTCAATAATTGGAGATGGGGCTGTTACTCAATTTGACTGTTTGAATTAGATCATTTTCGTAAACCTTCCTTTGATATTTATGAATCGACCTTCCCTATTTATGAGTGAACCTTCCTTTAATATTTATGAATCGACCTTCCCTATTTATGAGTGAACCTTCCTTTGATATTTATGAATCGACCTTCCCTATTTATGAGTGAACCTTCCTTTGATATTTATGAATCGACCTTCCCTATTTATGAGTGAACCTTCCTTTGATATTTATGAATCGACCTTCCCTATTTATGAGTGAACCTTCCTTTGATATTTATGAATCGACCTTCCCTATTTATGAGTGAACCTTCCTTTGATATTTATGAATCGACCTTCCCTATTTATGAGTGAACCTTCCTTTGATATTTATGAATCGACCTTCCCTATTTATGAGTGAACTTTCCTTTGATATTTATGAATCGACCTTCCATATTTATGAGTGAACCTTCCTTTGATATTTTCGTGAACCATTCTTTTGATATTCATGTTTAAAAAAATTTTCGTAAATTTTTTAAAACATAAATATCAAAGGAAATTGATTTATAAAAATCATTTGAATAATTACTTCCACATCTGATTACTATAAAAATCGAATTAAATTAAAAATTTTTTTTTTTTAAATTTGTTTAATAACATGCAACAGTTTTATACATATTATATATAATCTTTTATAGTGCTCATAGAATGATAGAGATTCTCCGAGATGAATGTTTTGATTTCTAATAGATGCTTTATGATTTCTGTTGTTGTTGCTGTTTCTTATCCCACTTGGCTGGCCAAGCCCACGAGCCCATATGGACTCGTGATTGAAGGGGAAGGAAGCAGCTTCTGTTGTGATGGAGCACCCCGTAGGTAGAAGCCTGACTTTTGCTCCGTGACGCTCTTACAGTCATAGAAGACCGGGACCTACGGCTTAAAGTGGATTCCGAACCACTACATAAATCCATGGCACCGCCGGGATTCGAACCCGAAACCTGTGGCACCGAGCGCCAGAGCGCTAGACACTCGGCCATTCAGGTCCCAAATTTGGCAACGGCACGCAGTGTTCCCAGGTGGTCACCCACCCAAGTACTGACCGCGCCCAATGATGTTTCACTTCGGTGATCTAACGAGAACCGGTATATTCAGCATGGTACGGCCGTTGGCTTTTATGATTTCTACTAATATTAAAGTAACACTATGAAAATCTTAATATATTACTTTCGCTTTATAAGATTATGAAAATGTATATTATTTTAATTTAAAATAAATTTAAGTAAAAAGGAAAGAACAAACAAACAAAGCATGCTTCAAAGATAATTGTTTCAAATTTTTCTCCGATTTGATTCGTATCGTCCTTTTTTGAATTAAAAAAGTAAAAAATTTTATGCATTTCGGATATGAGACTATTTTGCTAATTTAAACTTTAGCTTATAAGAATCTTGAAGTATTAAGAATTGTATTATAATCGTACTTTCATATCGAAAATATTGTTTTGAAAATTTGTGAATATCTTTTTTTTTTTTTTTTTTTTTCATATGAGAGCATACTATGTACATTCCATTCCACATAAGGAAAATTAAATATAAAAATCCTTCTATTTCGATATGGCCACAAGTTTTCCCTACTTGATTCTCATGAACATTTTGTGTGTAGAAACTCCATTGTGATCGTTGACCATTTTATAACGTATTTAGAGAAAATGACATAGTTAAGCAAAACAAAATTAAAGATAGCAGATGGTTTATATTATATTGCTTATTCAATTAAAATTGTAAAATATATTAGTGTCTTCCAGGTTATATGTTGAAACAAAAGTTTCAGACTCGAAATTTCAAAAGAAATAAATTGGTAGTGGAATTTATCTCTACAAATAAATAAATAAATTTGGTATTTCATCTTAAGAGGGTCTTAATTTCAAGTAAAATAACTCTGCTTCTAGATGAATTGCCTTTAAAGTACATACATAAAAATACAAATACAATGCAAAAATTTAATTTACTTAAACATTTTAAAATTACGAACTACACTCATGTCCATAAATTAAGGATAATTCAGAATCACACAGAAATTGAACTCTAAAATAAAAATTTCACCTGTAGAATTATCACACACATCTTGAAGAAGAATATGCAAATTACAGGAAACCACCAGATTGCTCGGATAGTACGACACAATGACGAGAGTGTAAGAGAGGGATATATAAGGAATGGTGGCAAAAAAGTAAAATCGTTCACAAGCGCTTTAAAAGCCTTTCATTGCAATAACCGCATAGTTATGGTACAAAGGAAGCATTTGGATGATTTTTTACGTGGTATAATTATCGGACTACTGGAATGTGGACGTACCCAGCTGGAAGTATCCGAGGAACTTGGAATCGCCCAGAATGCCATCTCCAGGCTTTGGCAACGATTCCAAGAGGATGGTAATGTGAGTAGATATTACAGCACAGGTCGCCCCCGAGTTACAACGCCAAATGAGGACCGGTATTTAGCAGTTACTGCCAAAAGAAACAGACGGAGCACAACATCAGACCTGTCTCGTCAGCTCTCTTCAGCTACCGGTACGACAGTTTCAAGGCAGACCGTGTACAGACGCTTAGGGCACATTGGTCTATATGCTCGTAGGCCTGTCAGATGTGTTCCCCTTACCGCAACTCACTGTCGCCTGCGATTAACCTGGAGTAGAGAGCATGCATTGTGGACACCGCAACAGTGGTCTTGTGTGATGTTTTCCGACGAGTCCAGGTTTAGTTTGCAGTCTGATTCTCGCCGGCCTTTCATATGGAGAGCGCCAGGTACCCGTTACCACCAAGAGAACACCATTGAACGACGCCGTTACGGTGGTGCAGGATGGCTCGTTTGGGGAGGAATTATTCTTGGTTCCAGAACTGACCTGCATGTTCAGAGTGTAACGATGACAGGCCACATCTATCGGGATGTCATTCTGGAACAACATGTACGTTTGTTTCGGGGCGCCATGTTGCTGAATTTCTGTTTATGGATGACAACACCCGTCCTCACCGTGCAAACATTGTTGACGAATGCCTTCAATTGGAGGATATCACCCGTATGGATTGGCCAGCATACTCACCGGACCTGAATCCAATAGAGCAAGTGTGGGATATGCTTGGCCGACGAATTGCAGCCCGTCAACCCCCTCCCACCTGTCAACCGGAAGTTCGGAGGGCATTGCTTGATGAGTGGTGTAATATTCCCCAAGATCAGATTGATAATTTGATACTCAGCAGGCCTAGGCGTTGTAAGGCCTGTATTGCATCGTCCGGGAGACATACTCCATATTAACCATCATACTAATCATGCTATACTGTTTTTTGTAAATAGGTTCTGTTTTGAAATTTGCTCCAGGGAGTAAAAATCCGCAATTTTTATTAATTATGTCAAACATATAGCATCTTTTTGCTCTTTACCTTTTGTTTAATAAATAGACTTTACAAATAAGTCAAATTGGTTGTGCTTCTGTCTCTTTCTTTGCCTGAACTTCATTATCCTTAATTTATGGACATGAGTGTAGCTAAATCCTTCTCCCGTTTTCTCTAACCACTAATTATGTCAAATTACCTTACTCGGTTTGATTCTAAGATGTCAAGACCTATCCAATAGTTCAAGAGGGAATTGCATCTAAAGAAGATTCTTTTGGTTTGTAGCTCTAAAGTCATTTTTTTTTTTTTTTTTTTTTTTTTTTGCATACCTTGGGCTAATTAGACAGTGACCTACAGTTTAACGTGGATTCCGGACCTCTCACAAACATTCATGCCACTGCCAGGATTCGAAACTGAAGCCTGTGGTACCAAATGCCAGAGCACCAGTTATTTGGCCATCAGGCCGTAGAAGAATCTTTTGAATATATGGTGAGATACGAAAAAATTAATCATATTTAAGTATAATGTGATTAATCCTGAAAATACTTTCAGAAGGCTTTATATCTCCCTTAGCCATTAGGTAACAATCAAAACCGTTGGAGTTTACTATTAACAATAAGAATGACTGATGGAAGTGTTTCGGGATTTTTTACATACCAGGTTCAAATACAGTGTAGATAGACTTAAGGATGCTTTCAAAGCCTATCAAATGGAACACCAGATCCTTATGAATAAAAATGAAAAGGACATTACTTTGTAATATATTATCAAAAAACTTTCTGCCATTCCATTTTCGGTTTAAGATTCATTTAAATTTCACATTGTACACTGAAAAATTTTTAACTTTTGTCTTTTCTTAACGTTTATTTCATGAAATTTTGAAAGTCTTGCACACTGTTTTTAAATTGTGTTATTTTTGGGAACTATAAAAAAAATAAAACTCTTTGTCACATTATTCTTCCATGTATTTTAAAAAAAATTATTAAACATTTATTTCATTAATATTAAAATATGTTTTTCTTATGGTCTAGGACGTCTTTAATAATATAATGGAACAGCAGATCCTTATGAATAAAAAGGATAATAATATTACTTTATAATATGTTAAGTCAAAAAATCTTTTTACCATTCTATTTGCAGTTTAAAGATCCTTTAAATTTCGCATTGTACACTAAAAAAGGTTTATTTTGTCGTTTCTTATCGTTTACTTCATGAATTTTTTTAAAGTCTTACACATTGTTTTTGAACTGTGTTATTTTTGGGAACAATAATACGGTATCCCATTATATTATCATGCATTTTTAAAAAAATAAAACATTGATTTGATTAATCTGAAAATGTATATGTTTTTCTTATGGTCTAGGACGCCTTGAATAATATAATGGAACAGCAGATCCTTAAGAATAAAAATGATAATGATATTACTTTATAATGTGTTTGCCATAAAATCTTTTTACCATTCCATTTTCAGTTTAAGGTTCATTTAAATTTCACATTGTGCACTGAAAAACGTTTGACTTTGTCGTTTCTTAACGTTTATCTCATGAATTTTTTTAAGTTCTTTCATACTGTTTTTAAACTATGCTATTTTTGGGAACTATAACATGGTGTCACATTATTCTATCATGCATTTTTTTTTTTAAATTGAAAACATTGATTTGATTATTCTAAAAAGGAATATGTTTTTCTTCAGGTCTAGGACTTCTTTGAGGAAGGATGGCGGTGGACATGAGCAACAAGTGGCGCGTGGGAGACGTGCGGACCGTCGGCTACTGCACCTTCTGCGTGGTCCTGACTGGATTCGCCCTGCTTCTGGGAGGTGCCATCCTGTCGGGCATTGCTTTTACCGAGGTGCGCCCCAACGTGGCAGACGAGAACTACGAGCGTTACATCCGCTCTGACCCCAAGAGGGTCGTGGGGCCCATCATGCTGGCGTTCGGGCTGCTCTGCATCTTCGCGGGCTGCATCTTCTTCGGCCTCACCCTCTTTTCAGCTACCCTGGAAAGCAGAAGGAAACTCAAGAGGACCCTCAAGTACAACGTGAGGAATTCGGCTGAGCATCTTTCAACCACGCCAGATGTCGGCAAGAAGATGCTGAGCGACGTCTAGAAGTGGTACCTTTGAGGGGCACCTGATGACTCAGAACACTATGATTCGTTCATCTGTGACATTTCCAGATGTCTACCAATCAACAGATTCACCAAGAATGATCATCAGTTGCCTCGTTGCATGGCTTAGAAATAAACAAATTGTGTGCTTCAGGTTTTGTAGTAGCGATGTTTTTTGTTGACAACTCTTGATGCAGTCTTTAACAAGTCATATAAAGTTTTTAGAATATTTTTGATACATGGTAGTGATTTTCCCTTTTGTAATGTACAAAAAAAATAGCCAGTCAATAGTATAGTCAATTTATTGATTCTTTAAATGAAAGAATTTAATTCAATATCAATGCTGCAGGAATATTCTTTAAAAATCCATTAACAAATAAAGATGGTAAAAAAATGAAAAACTGTAGTATAAAATGCTAATTTAAAACGTTTGTTATAAAGCATTTTGATTTCACATATTTTATCACTAAGTATTTGTCAATCTGCATGAATTCCACATTACTACAGACACAGCATCAAAAGATTTTGACTGATGTTTCATTTTTATTTTTAGTATTTTTACTGTTATGTGTGTTAGAACATTTCATTATGTAGAAGATTTCTTTTTTTACTTTTCTTATTATTAAAAATAGTTATTTTAATTATATTCGAAAATTACTTTGATTAATTAATTA